AAAGGATATGGCTCCTTTAAGAGGCTCTGCTGTCCACTGAGCACTTGAGCAGCCAGCATGTTAAGTAAAAACGCCTGCCACACTGCAGGCACCAACTTCCTGGAGCTGGGGAAGTTGAATGCAGCTCCCAGTTAGATGAAGCTCTCGGCCAGGCCCACTGGCACAAGATTGGCTCTCACAGACCCAAGGAGAGGGTGGAGCCAGAGCCATGGTGGCTGGCAGAGGGCCTAGCTGCTGCTTAGCAGTTTAAGGTACGGCTCATGTGGTCAGAAAAGGCTAGAGACACGCAGTAAAGACAGGTCCAGATAGAAAAGAAACTCTAAACAGGTTACAGTGTGTTGAAAAATGTGCAGAGGCTTAAGAAAAGAAAAGAAAATGGGTATAGACAATCATAGGAAAAATAGTAGTCTTTAAAGAGAATACAGTAACGTAAAGGAAAAAAGCCACATAAAGATGGGAAATACACAAGGAGTCTGAATTCTGTATGGTGTTGTGTTGACTTTGAATTTTTGGAATGCTGATGAGTGAATGACAGCTGCTGAGAGACACTGGATTGTAAAAGGTGCTGAATTAAGCCAGCCTAGACACTTTAGGAATGTCTTAACTTTAAAATGGAATTCGGAAAATGTATTGCATTGGGAGAGAGGTTATGCTTTTGTTTCCACAGGAGATGAAAGGCTGTGGATTCCTTCAAGGTTAATAAAGAACAGATTTGATTGGGGGAGACTTCCCTCTTGAAAATCTTGGCTAAAGACATAAAGAAGTAAACCAAGACAGACAAGACAGGTGACGTATATACTGATCCCTCTGCACGGAAACAGTTCTGAAACTGGACAACAAATGTTACAACTAGTTTTTCCAGGATTTGACCATTGTCTCAATTTTCTCAGGGTCCCCTGGGAATGCTGTTATCCTCAGGCAACAGGAAGCAGTCTAGAGAACACAACACCCACATTCCCAAGAGGTGGGTGGGTGGATTTTGGTCATTTGGTGGGTTATGAATGTTTGTCATCATTTAGGGGGGATATAGGATAAAAAGACAACTACTAACCTCAAATATTTTACATTGGTATGGATTTTGGTATATTGATACAAATTTAATTTTTGTTATACTGTGTTTATGTTTCTACTCTTATGCAGCTCATTTAAAAATGTAATGTATAATTAAAAATGGAGGGGCCGGGCGTTGGTGGCGCACGCCTTTAATCCCAGCACTCGGAAGGCAGAGGCAGGCGGATCTCTGTGAGTTCAAGGCCAGCCTGGTCTACAGAGCGAGATCCAGGAAAGGCGCAAAGCTACACAGAGAAACTCTGTCTTGAAAAATCAAAAAAAAAAAAAAAATGGAGGTTAGTAGTTAGTCATCTATAGTAATCAAACCTGCAGTCACATTAGGTATGTTTTCTAGGTTAAATAGATATATTTTAGATAGATAGGTGATCTTCAAATGCTTCAGAGACCTACAGAATATGGCATTTAAGATGTTTTATAACATACAGCTTTTCATGACAGTAAGACATGGCTGTTCTTGACAGCACCAATTTACTTCAGAAAGGATGATGGGCATCGAAGAACCTCCATATGGAGTTTGCTTTCATTGTGGCAAAGCTAGCCATTTGGGCAAGAAATTGCCCTTGTATTTACTGGTGACAGTATGCTGTACAGACTGGACCAGTGTTGAGGGCCGCAGGAATATATCATAAGAACTCAGCTGGTTATGGCAAAGTCACTACCTGGAGGGATCATGGAATTCCTCCAGAGGAAGCCAAATCCCACAAGAAAGTGACTGCCGAACTTTGCCAAGACAAGGCAGGACAGTCCTTCAAGATTCCTGCTTCATAGAAAAGTCTGCCAGATATTCTAGGCCTGTAGGCTGAAGATGGATGCCCCAAAGTTGTGAAGGAACCTTGGGTAACTGACCAGGCAGCCATATGTCCGTCGTTTTGGAAGTTGCTTGCTCTGCACTTCCTTTTTACTCAGATAATATTATATCTTTCTAGGGTCTTTGATAGAGCTGAAGACTAGTTATAGTTACAGTTATCCTTACTTATGATAGAAGGTAAATTAGGTACAAAACTTTGGACTCACCAAGATAGAATAAATAATGGAGTATTTTCTCTGAATTTGTCAACTATAAATGGATTGGATGCTGTAAATGTAATTCTTACTTGATAACTGTGCTTATTGTATATAGTTTTACTATGTTAAAGTTAAAATCCTTTCTTTTTACTTAGAGAAAAAGAGGGAAATGTTGTGGAATATTACTTTAACTGTGTAAAGATGTGTTACATTTGTTTAATGATGTAAAGATGTGTGCTTTGCCTGTCTAAAGCACCTGACTGGTCTAATATAAAGCTGAATAGCCAATAGCTAGGCAGTAGATGGATAGGCAGGGCTAGTGGACACAGAGAATAAGTAGGAGGAGGAATCTTAGGCTCGAGGGAAGAGAATGAGGGAGAAAGAGCAGAAGATGCCCAAGGCCAGCCAGGAAGGCACAGAGGAAGCAGGAAAGTAGGCCATACAGAATGACAGAAAGGTAAAATGCCGAGGCAAAACGTAGATGAAGAGAAACAGGTTAAATTAAGTTGTAAGAACTAGTGAGACAAGCATAAGGCCAAGCAGTCATGATTAATAATAAGTTTCTGTGCTGCCGGGCAGTGGTGGCACACACCTTTAATCCCAGCACTCAGGAGGCAGAGCCAGGCGAATCTCTATGAGTTCAAGGCCAGCCTGATCTACAGAGCGAGATCCAGGACAGGCACCAAAACAACACAGAGAAACCCTGTCTAGAACAACACCCCCCCCCAAAAAAAAAGTTTCCATGTCATGATTTGGGGGCTGGCGGTCCCAGAAAGCCTGCTGACTCCCTCCCCAGCACACCTGCTGACCCCCTCCCCAGCACACCTGCGGTCATTCTGGCTGATGAAGCCGTCATTGAGTTTCTCCACAGCACTGGCCAGCATGGAGCTGGCATCGTTGGCAAAGTCCAGGTCGCGGATCTCAGACACGGGCACGGACACAATGGCAAAGGCCTCCTTGTCCTCCTTGGTGGGGCACGTGCCCAGCTGTAGAGACAAGGGTCAGCAGGGTGCCAGGGACAAGCTCCGGCGGGACCCAGCCCCATGCACCAGGGCCCGCACCATGAGCCGGATGGGCCGCTCCTCCTCCACGTCGATGGGCGCGTTGGTGCTCTGGATCCATGTGTTGGTGCACAGGTGCCTCAGGCGCACATAGGAGTTCCTGGTGAGAGGCCGGAGCCAGTGAGGGAGGGTGCCACAGACCGCAGCCACTCTCCGTTCACTAGTCCCCAACACGGTCCTCTTCCTCTGCTCTCCACGCCTCCACGGTGTGCATGGCACACCTCCACGGTGTGGGTACTGAGAATGGGGGGCTCCTGTCTCTACTGCAGTACCCCCATTCACGCAGACCCCTAAACCAATGCTTGCTGGTGAACACGGGGCCAGGATTCACCTGGACAAACCAAGCCCCCAAGAGTGTCGGGTTAAGGACAAGGGCTAACGGTCCCTCTGTTAGTTCCCCAGAAGTCCTAGTCACAGGCCCTGGATATTCCCACTCCACAGACGACACACTGAGGCAGGGTGGTGGAAACAGCTACCTGAGGTCTCATGGCCAGAAAACACTAAGGCCTGGATGGCTCGGAATGTTTTGAGGCATGCACCTGTGTGTGCACATGATGTTCCCATGGGTATACAAGTGTGTACAGACTTGAGTGTGTGGAGGTTGGCATAAGGCCACTTCCTCCATCTTTTCTATGGAGACAGGGACCTCCTGTTGAACCAGGAACTCCTTGTGTAGCAGTGTCTGGCTAGCCGCACTGTGACTATGGAGATTTCCAGTCTCTGCCTGGTGCTGGAAGGCGGGCCTCGCTCCCGCCCAGCTTTCCCGTGGGTGTTGGACATGCAGACTCCGGTCCTCACGCTTGGACAGAAAGTGCATTATTTGCGGAGTCATCTCTACAACCCTGTGATATTTCATTTATTTCTTTATTCTTAAAGACAAGGTCTCCTGCAGCCACGGCTGGCTTCAAGCTCTCTACGTGGTGGAGGATAACATTCTCCTCCTGCCTGGTCTCCTGCCTGCTGGAATTACAGGCATGAACCGCCTCCCCCGGCTTACACAGTGCTAGAGACTGAACCCAGGCCTGCGTGCCTGCCAGGCAAGCGCTCCACCAACCAAGCTGCAGCCCCAGCCACAGGAATGTGACACTCTACATTCTCAGGGTTGGTGGGGACCTTACAGGCATGGGAGCCTCACACACACACACACACACACACACACACACACACACACACACACACCCCGGCCAGCATCTGGGTTCTCCAGGTGCCTGGCTGCGAGCAGACGATCTCACACCTTGTGCTTGAGCACCTGGCTGGACTGGGCCAAGTGCTGAGAAGAGCAGCAAAGGAGGCCGTGCCTGCGTGCAGGCCGGCTCAAACCGGTCTCAGAACTGCAGCTCCAAGAGGCCCCCAAAACCCAGGGCCTCGGGCAGCCGGCACACACCTACCGCGGCACGAAGGAGTCGGTTTTCTGCAGCGTGGTGGGGTCCAGCTCAAAAAGGGAGGCGATGTCGTTGCCATGTGGCACAGCTACCAGACGGTACTTGATCTTCTCGCCTGCATTCCTGCGGCCTGTGCGGCCCTGGGCCCCCTGGGGTGAGGACCCCCAGGTCAGACAAGATCCCATCCTTCCTCTCAGGCCCCACCCGAGGGGCCTTCTCAGTCCACCCCACCTATTTCCCAGGTTCCCCCGCCCCGGCCCCTGCTCACCGATCCTGCTGCTTTCGGATCTGAGGCATCACCTTTGTAGCTGGGGTTTTCCTGAACGGAGGTACAAGGTGAGGGGGGATTACTACGCTATCAGCACCGCCCCCAAACACAGGGTCATACCCAGAAGGCACTCCAAGGCGCCTACCCCAGGCCCAAAGGCCGCGTGACTCCTAGGAGAGCTGTGCAGGGGAGGCCTTCACGGTACCTTCTCCATAGGCCCGCGCATGAGCAAGCATGCACATGCAGCCTGTGTCCCCAGCACACGGATGCCATGCACACTCCACTCCTCACTCTCACTCACCTCGGCAGCCAGGTAGTTGCCTGTGGCCAGGTGCTTGAAACGGTAGAGACCATTCCAGTGTCCCGCTCCGCCTCGGCAGGGGTCGTGGTGGACCACCTGGGGACATGTAAGGGTGAGGTGGAGAGGAGGGACCAGGACGGAAAAGGAAGTCCAGACCCTGGGAAGCCTGTGGGGATCAAAGTGCCCAGGTCCTCCCCTGGCCCCAGGATGGGACAGACCCTCCATCCTCTAGGGTACGGGGTGAGGGGGCGGGAGGGTGAAAGCTGAGTGTGGGCTCTGACCTCCACCTCCCAGAGTGCATTGGAGCTGGTGGCTGAGGTGGCGGATTGGCGCAGCGTGGTTCTCAGGAACACCTGCAGCTTGCCCTTGTATTCGTCACAGGTGAGGAACTTCTCCTGCTCTGCATGGAAGAGCCGCACCACATCTCCCTGTGGGCGGGGTTGGGGGGGTCACAGTCACACCTCTAGGCTCAGGGACCCTGTGCAAGGCCCAGTCCCTCAGACGCAGCCCGCCGGACCCCATGAGCTGAGAGTGAGAAGCCACAGGGCAGCCGGGTGCTGTGCACAGTCCTCTACCTCAGGTTTGCGTACTCCAACCCACCTGGCACCCCCTCTCTCCTGGTACCTCCAAACGCCTCTAATGCCATGTCCAGGAAGGCAGGAAGGACTCCCCCTTCCTTCTCAGTCTCCCTGCCCAGGGCCATCCTCTCCTTATCCCCCCACCCACCATTTCTTTTGCTCTCTGGCAGCTGGAGGGTGGTAGCCGTGGCTTGTTCGCCTCCAGACCTTACACAAGAACTGAGTTTGAATCTCGCTTGCACACTGTGTGAGGGGCTGCGATACGGTCCTTAATGTCCTTGAGCCTCAGTTGTGTCTTCTGACTTCCGGCAGACACTTTATCACAAGGGTTGATGGGGTAACGCTACACTACCCAGGCAGAGAAGGGGGGCACCTTGCCAAGAGCCACGCAGCCAGGGGCAAGTGGGAGAGTCCCTGCCTCCGTCCCAGGGCCACCCCTGAATCCCTCCTGCATACTCCCTCCCCCGGCGGCAGCGGCCACTCAGCAGGTTCTCAGAGCAGGGCTGTCACCCCATGATCGTTGTCACCCCATAGCAATTATCTGTCTTCCTGCACTGAACCTGCCTCTGGACACAGTGCTCAGGGGACACCTGTCAGGTGGAGGCAGAAGTGAGCGATGCATCTGTACCCAGACTGCCTCAGTCCCTACAGCAGAGCCCAGGGACAGCGTGGCCGGTGCGGAGGAAGGGACAGACAGGTGGGCTTTGATGAGAACGCCTTGCCTCCAGGTTGTCTGGAGCTAACCACAACACCACGACGGCCTCACCAGAAGCTAGTGTGGGGATGGCAGAGCTGGGCCCAGGGCTGGTTTCATACACGCTGCCCAGAGCTGGGACTAGAACATGTCACCGGAGGCTGTGGGGAGGGGCACATGGCTGGGCTCTGACTGACGCTCGGACAGTATGAGGGTTCAGTGGACAGAGGGAGAAAGCATTTGAGGAGCCCAGGTTGACAATCAGAGGGACGAGGGAGGCAGCGTGTCTAAGCACAGCCTGGAAGGGGAGCCGCGAAGGGCACCCTGGGGCTTCTGAGCAGGGAGCAGGCTGGCCTCAAGGCACCTGCTAGGAGACCTAGCACCCCCACAGCACCCCAGAATACTCTCCTAAGTAGGGTGCCTCACACTCTTTGCTACCCTACCCCCAACCTGCCTCTCCATCAGAGACCTGGTTTTTAGGCTTTGCAAACATTCGCCCTGGTGGCTCGGTATTCACTGCAGGGCCAGCGGCTGCTCTGCCTCTCGGGCCAGCCCTTCCCTGGCCTGGAGCTGCCTCCTCCCTCAGTACATACACTGGCATGGGGACAGAGAAGAGGCACCGACCAGCCCCCGACGGCAGGTGGGCAGGCACTGGCTGCTGGTAGCAGGCAGGAGCAGCCTTTTCCTGCCCAAGAGAGCTCAGGGCACAATGTGGAGGCCACAGAGTAAAAGCCAGAGACAGGACGGTGTGCTCCAAGGATGTGGCCACCCTAAGGTGGAGGACAGGGTAGGGAGCACTCTGATGTTCCTTTGCAAGGAAAGGAACTGAGGTGAGCAAAGGGGAGAAGAGATGGCTGGGATGTGGGGGGCCAGCACCCACATTTATTTACCCCAGGGACTCCTGAGTGAGGGATAAGAGATTTAGACAGAAATACAGAGAAGACAGAAACACAGGATAGCCTCGGGAGGGCCTGGGTCAAAACCCACCAGCCCCTTCTGTCTCTTCTAAAGGGCTTTTAAAGGAATGCCAAGCGGTGGAGCAAAAGATCTGCCCCAGCACAGCCAAGTGCAGACCATCCCAGACACCTGGTGACCACGCACATGGCACATGATCACGTCATCCCCTAGTGCAGCCCTGCTGTGTAAAGCAAGCTCAGATCTCACTAGGAGACCTCTGTGGGCTCCCACAGTGGGACACATGGGGGACTTCCTGGAGGTAGAGGGAAGCTGAAGGGGTACTGAGCCAAGGCAGTCATTGGTCGGGAAGAGGAAGGGGCTCCAGACTCACCCCCTTCAACACCTCCTCCAGGTGGTCCCGGAACTGCATGAATAAATTGATCTTCCAGCTGGTATTGCAGTTGACAGAGTTGACCTGTGGGGGGCAGGCAGGCTGGTGACGCAGCTGGCAGAGCCAGCCGCCAAGAGCCCTAGCGCTGAAGACCAAGGAGGGGGAGGAAGGGAGGGGAGGGGAGGGGAAGAGGGGGAGGGGGAGGGTAAGGAGGAGAGGGAAGGGGAGGGGAGGGGGAAGCCAGCCCAGCTCCTGCAGTGGCTCAGGGTGCTTCCCAAAGCCAAGATGCCGGACCCTAGCCAGGACTTGAGGCAGCTGGCCAGTGGGGTGAAGGAGGAGATCCCACACTGGGAGGCAGGCAGGGGGGCCCAGGGTTCCAGGCAGGGGCACACACAAGCCAGGGGTCTGCAGCGGCGCTCAGCTCCAGACGCGCCCCACCCCACTCACCTCCCTCAGCCCTCGCCCTCACCCCACTCACCTCCCTTACCCAACTCACCTTCCCCACCCCACTCACCTCCC